ACTTTATGGTACATGGACATCATTTCTAATTTTCCAACAGGTAACTTGTTTAAATTTCATATAGCACTCAATCAGTAGACAAATCCCTTACAAAAACTCTATTTTCTGAAGAAACATGAACACCTAAGTTCCCAAACCTCTTTAAATTTTATACCATGTCACTGAAGGATGCAAATATGCTTTAAACCAAAATTTTCATATTTTCTAATTTTCCTGGAAATATGTGGGCTAAACCCTACGAAAAATCGAGTTTTTCAGTAAATGTTATATTCAGAATTTTAGGCTCTTCATTCTTGATAAATAATTACCTAAAAACATGCTAAATTTGTATTAATGTATGTTAAAATTATTTTCATGGAACATGGACATCATTTCTAGTTTTCAATAGGTAACTTGTTTAAATTTCATATACCAAAGACAAACCCCCTATAAACTAAAATTTTATTTTCTGGAGAAACATGAACAACTAAGGTCTCAAACCTATTTAAATTTCATACTTTGTCACTGAATGATGAAAAATGCATTAAAAAAAATGTTCATATTTTCTAATTTTTCCCAAAATATGTGGGCTAACTCCTACGAAAAAATCAATTTTTCCGGTAAATGCTATATTCAGAAGTTTAGGCTCTTCATTATTGATAAATAATCACCTAAACACATTCTAAATTAGTTTTAATGTATGTTAAAATTATTTTTATGGTACATGGACATCATTTCTAATTTTCCAACATGTAACTTGTTTAAATTTCATATAGCACTTAATCAGTAGACAAACCCCTTACAAAAACTCTATTTTCTGAAGAAACATGAACACCTAAGTTCTCAAACCTCTTTAAATTTTATACCATGTCACTGAAGGATGCAAATATGCTTTAAACCAAAATTTTCATATTTTCTAATTTTCCTGGAAATATGTGGGCTAACCCCTACGAAAAATCGAGTTTTTCAGTAACTGCTATATTCAGAATTTTAGGCTCTTCATTCTTGCTAAATAATTAGCTAAAAACATGCTAAATTTGTATTAATGTATGTTAAAATTATTTTCATGGAACATGGACATCATTTCTAGTTTTCCAATAGGTAACTTGTTTAAATTTCATATACCAAAGACAAACCCCCTATAAACTAAAATTTTATTTTCTGGAGAAACATGAACAACTAAGGTCTCAAACCTCTTTAAATTTCATACTTTGTCACTGAATGATGAAAAATGCATTAAAACAAAATGTTCATATTTTCTAATTTTTCCCAAAATATTTGGGCTAACTCCTACGAAAAAATCAATTTTTCCGGTAAATGCTATATTCAGAAGTTTAGGCTCTTCATTATTGATAAATAATCACCTAAACACATTCTAAATTAGTTTTAATGTATGTTAAAATTATTTTTATGGTACATAGACATCATTTCTAATTTTCCAACATGTAACTTGTTTAAATTTCATATAGCACTTAATCAGTAGACAAACCCCCTATAATTTGGGGGCTAACCCCTACGAAAAATAGAGTTTTTCGGTAAATGTTATATTCAGAAGTTAAGGCTCTTCACTGTTGATAAATAATTACCTAAACACATTATAAATTTGTATTAATGGATGTTAAAATTATTGTCATGGTATGTGGACATCATTTCTAATTTTCCAACATTTAACTTGTTTAAATTTCATATACCACTTATTCAAAGGACAAACCCCCTATAAACTAATTTTTTTTCTTGAGAAACATGAACACCTAAGGTCTCAAACCTGTTTAACCTTCATACTATGTCACTGAATGATGCAAATATCCATTAAAACAAAATTTTCATATTTTCTAATTTTCCCGAAATATGTGGGCTAACCCCTAATAACCATTATAAAATTTTTATTTTCTTGAGACGGGAACACCTAAGTCTCAACCCTCTTTATTCTCCATACTATGTAAATTCATGATGCAGCAATTAATTAATAAAAAATTCTATTTTTTCTAATTTGTTTTGAAATATGTGGGTTAACACCTACAAAAAGATCGAGTTTTCGATAAATGTAATATATAGGCCTCTTTAATTTTTTTTTTAAATATACCTAATCAAATTAAAAATTTATATTAATATTTTAAACTTATTTTCATGGTATATGGGAAGCAGTTCTAAATTTCAACGAAAGAATTTAATAAAACTCTATATACAACAAAAATCAATGAACAATACCCTATAAAATCTCTATTTATAGAACAATTTGGACAACTAATGTATCAAAACACTTTGATATCCATCCTATATAAGAGTTGGATGCAGTTATACGTAAATGCAAAATTTCCATATTTTCTAATTTATCATGAAATCTGAGGGTTAATCCCTACGAAAAATCAAGTTTTTCAATAAAAGCTATTTGTACTTAAGGTAGCCTCTTTAGTGTTGTTTAAACTATATAACCACATTAAAAAAATTATAATAATGTATTATAAACTTATTTCATTGTACATTGGCATCATTTATAATTTTTCAACGTGTAATTTAATATAACTTCATATATCACGTAAATGAAAGAACTAAACCCTATGAAATCTTTGTATATTAGAGAAATTGGGACAACAAAAGTGTCAGACATCCTTGATTTTAATACTATATATGTATTGGATGCATATATGCATTAAAATAAAAGTACCATATTTTTATTTTATTTTAAAATATGTGGGCTAACCCCTACAAAAAGGTCGAGTTTTTTTTAAATAAATTCTATGTACTGAATTTAAGCTATTTCATGTTGACTAAAAATATCTAATCACATTATACATTTATATTAATATATGTTAAACTTATTTTTATGGTACATGTGCATCGTTTCTAATATTTTAATGAATAATTTCATAAAACTTCATATTCCACCTAATTCAGTGGAATAAAATCAATTCATTCTGGAGAAACGGGGAAATTAAGGTCCTAGACCTACTTAAATTTTATCACATGTCTGTGTATGATGAAGTTATGCACTAAAACAAAGTACTATATTTTCTAATTTATTTTACGAATATATCGAGTTTTTCCAATAAATGTTATATATACTAAAGTTTAGCCTCATTAATATTTTTTTAAAAATACCTAACCACACTCTAATGCATATTAATGTATGTTAAACATATTTTCATGGTACATGGGCACAATTTCTATTTTTTAACAAGTAAGTTTTTAAAACTTCATATATGACTTAATTAGTGTACTAACCCTTATAAAATCTCTATTTTTTAGAGAAATGAAAACACCTAAGGTCTCAACATCTTTAATATTCATACTATGTCAGTACATGAAGCAGCTATGCATTAACAAAAATCCCATATTTTCCAGTTTATCTTAAAATATGTGGGTTAACCCCTGTGAAAAGATTGAATTTCGATAAATACTATATATACTATTTAGATTCTTTAGTATTGTTTAAAAATACCTAACCACACTCCAAAATTATATATATATATATATATATATATATATATATATATATATATATATATATATATATATATATATATATATATATATATATATATATATATATATATATATATATATATATATATATATATATATATATATATATATATATATATATATATATATATATATATATATATATATATATATATATATATATATAGATATTTATATATATTTATTATAAAGTTTTATGGTACATGGGCAACATTTCTAATTTTTCAATGAGCAATTTATTTAAACTTTATATACCACCTAATAAGTAGACTAACCCCTATAAAAAAATTATTTTTCAAAAAAACTAGAATACCTAAAGTCTCAAATCTCTTTATTCTCCATATCATGTCAGTGGATGATGCATGAATTCATTAAAATAAAAATATCATTTTTTCTAAATTATCTTGAAATATGTGGGTTAATCTCTATAAAAATTGAGTTTCCGATAAATGTTATATAAAATCCTCTTTAGTTTTGTTTAAAAATACATAACCACATTCAAAATTTATATTGATAGTGAATAGACATAATTTTTCAAGTTAAAGTTAGTTATTTTTATAAATAGTCACAATTCTTCAAATTAATGTTTGCTATTTTTATGAATAGTCATAACTATTCAATTATAGGTAAATTTTAAATGATACATTTACATTATATATTTGAATAGATGCATAATTTCAAAAAAATACATTTATTATATAAAGATTAACTATTTTTAAAAGTAACTAAAATTTAAATAGACGCACTATTTCAAAAAACAGTTCCATTATAGAAATGTTAGGTATTTTCTAAATCTATTTTTTGATAGAAAGACATAACTTTTCACTTAGATGAGATTCATAATTTGAGATTACTATTATTAATACATTACCAAATTTTGTTAAAATGATAATCTTCTTTTATAAAAATTGTAAATATATTAAACTCATAAAAATATAATTAGATAAGATAATAAACTAATATATTTATCTTTTTATAAGATAAATTACTTTTTTGTAAAGTCTCTTTACTTCCCTCCGTTTATAGTAGATTTCAAATGGCATCTAAACTAAATTAGTTTAACTTATATAATATTCCATCCATTTTTTGTATGATGTTGTAGACATACGCACAACTATTAAGAAAAATTATCTTTTATCTAAAACTATTATTAAACTATAAATTAAAATTTTCTTAACCAATTACAAAATAGAGTATAAAATACTAATGGATACACAGTTTTTAATAAATTTAAAATTTACCAAAAATAAAAAAAAACATCTTACATATTGTTACAACAAGAACTCCCTAAAACTTCATACAAAAAAAATGGGAGGGAGTATAAAAATTAAATATTTTCAAAACAGTTATGCGTCAAAATAGTGTCTTCAGATTGTCCATCAACATTTTTGCAATCAATTCGAGGTTGTTCTCCATTCGCCAGGGTGATATTGATTCCATTCATTAGGACATCTTTACAACGCGTGGTTGCACTACAATCAAGCTTTATAGCATTCTTTTTCGACGTCGTTCCACAAAAATCAATAAATTTTATATTGCTAATCGCCACAGCTGATATCTGTTGAAAATAAATAACATACATTTGTCAGTTTAGACATAATTCAAAAATATATTCATATTTAAGCCCTTTCTCAAAAAAGAAAAAAAAAAATATATATATATATATATATATATATATATATAGATATATTCATATTTATTAGAAGTTGTTTACCTCTCCAGCGCCAACACGCCCTTTATCTATATAATGTTGATCAATTATAATTGGATTCTTTGCGTTAATGAGTGTGATGTTTTCAAAACTTATGTTTCTTGCATATCCTTGTCCACCCTATAAACAAAAATTGAATAGAAATTTGATGCATACTTTGAATATCAATATCACTAGCTTAGGTGATATATATATATAAGAAAAAAAAAATGAGAATAAGAGAAAAGTACCGGCCATGTCTTTATTCTAGCTCCATTCGTTGTCTGATTGAAAGTGCATTGAGTCACTTGAACATCACTAACTGCAGCGTTGCCTCCATTGAGTCCTAAACTCCCCACACTATTATCCAGTTTATATGAAAATTTATAAACTCTTTCAAGTATATTGTACAAGAAAGCCTCTCTATTCACAATGATGCTGTAATCTAATAAATGAATTAATACCACATGATTTACCTTATTCCATGACCAGGTCCACAATTAATCCTTGTAATGTTGATATTTGTATTCCCAGTGTTGATTGCTATACAATCATCGCCTGACAATTCAGTGATTGAAAATCAAATGACTCTTGTGCCATTTTTAATAATCTATAGTAGTATATAAGTATATTAAAAAGATCTCCAAAAGAAAGTCATGCATAAAACTAATTAACACTATATCTCTATGTACGTAGTAAGTAAAAAAAACCATATATGAGTTAAAGATGCATACCAGTTTGAATCGTAGAGTCGAATATGTTGACGTTACTCGAGCGACTTATATCAATCCCATCTGTGTTGGGACTATCCTCGGGTGCAAATAGATGTATATTCGATATTGCAACATTTGTACATGCTGCGATTGATATATGGTTTCTCGGACTATCAATCGAGGTTATTCCGGTTATAATTAAGTTGTCACATTGGCTAATATGCAATGACTGCAAAATAAAAAAAATATTTTTTAATAGCCAGTTTGTGGCAATCACAGTGCATATAGTTAATATAGTAGATATACTCACTGTAGGTCGTTGAGAAGCTTTCAAATGTTGCTGGAAAACAAGAGAATGCCCATGAATTTAAAGTTACGACGAATATAATATACTAGGAAATGTAGAAAAATTGTGATTTAGCAAACTCTCACTTCCCAAAAGGATGAACCACGACCATTAATCGTTCCTGAACCAACAATCATGAGACCAGGCACCGCTGAAAATTTGATCCACGTTCGAGAACTGGGGTTGGACCATTCTTCTTTGTTGCTAGGCGCGACAATGATGCCATCCAACTTCAAATATAGAAAAAAACCCTAAGTTTTATTGATATAATTTAAACATAGTTATAGATATGGATTTTTAACATAAAAACCCCTCAACTAAGTTTGTTTTGGGTAAAAACCCCTAAACTAAGTATTTAATGAAAAAAACCTCAAACTAACTTTATTTAGTGAATTAAACTCTCACCGGTCATAATTACTAGTACTACCGGTAAATTTTTAGTTTAGGGGTTTTATCATTAAACATAAAAATTTTAAAAAGGAAAAAAAATAAAAATATAATAACATTATCTAAAAATTTGTAATTTTAATTTTCAAAACTAGCATTTTAAAAATTTCTGTAAATATATGAATGATTTCTTATCCTTGTAAAATGGATTTTTAACAATAAAATACCTTAACTAAGTTTGTTTTGGGTAAAAACCCCCATATTAAACATAGTTGAAGCGTTTTTATCATTAAAAATTTAAAAAAAAAATTATAACATTATCTAAAAATTAGTAACTTAAATTTTTAAAATTAGCATTTTGCAAACTTTCTGTAAATATATGAGTTTGAATCAATATTATATATATAGATTAAAATTTTAATACACCAAAATATAATAAAAAGCATCTAAAGATTTATTATTATATTTTTATTAAATAATATATAATTTTTATTCTGTTTTCTTGTTTTTATATTTATAAATTTTGATAATTTTTATTATAGGTAAATCTTTAGATAATTTTTCTTATATTTTATTGGTTTTTACATTTTAAATTTATACATATATAATTTTGATTTTAAAAGGATAACAAATCAGACTAATATAGTTACAATTTTTTTTAAAAAAAGGGTAGTTTTTAAAATTTAAACTACAAATTTGTAGATAATGTTATTATATTTTGAATTTTATTGATTTTTATGTTTAATGATAAAACCCCTAAACTGAAGATTTACCGGTAGTACTGATAATTATGACCGGCGAAATAAAGTTATTTTGGGGGTTTTTTCATTAAATACTTAGTTTATGGGTTTTTACCCAAAACAAACTTAGTTGAGGGGTTTTTATGTTAAAAGTCCTTTAGATATCAAATTAATTATAGATTAGTTATCTACATACCTGAACTTTTGTATTGCTAGATCGACATGGACCTCTGAACACAATAGGTTGAATTAAAAATGTATTCTCAGCAGGAATAAGCAGTATGCTTATGTCTCCTCCTCCACCACATGCAGCGTTCCACGTTTTGACAAAAGCCTTGACACAAGCAATTTTATAAAAGTAAATACTTCATCCGTTTCAATTTCGTTGCCGTTTGGATTTTTGCACACTGATTAAGAAAATATTTAATTTTGTATATTGTTTAAAAAAAATACAATTACCTATACATCTAACCACATTTCTAACAATAGAAAAATATAATAGTAGACAAAATTAATAAATTTTACATTAAAATTATAAATCGACTTTATTTTGAAATAAAACTTTTGACTCTACAATGATAACTAAATTGAAACGGAAAGAGTAAATAGCAAAGAGGTCATGAGAAAGTCATTAATTATATAGTTTTAGAAAAAATGTTTGATAATATATCACTTGTATTCTTCCTACACTAAAAGAAAGTTCTTATTTTTGAACAACAAAAGTTTAAAATACAGCTTACGTTTGAATCATCAGTTTGACCATCTCCGGTGGCACCAAAATCGAGGACGTTGTAGTTTTGGCCGTTCACAAGACCAAAACAGAGGAAATTTACCAAGATCAAAAAACGTAGAATACGTTCCTATTTAAAAACAAGGCAAAATGTTAGAATAAACACGTAATAAGAGATTGACAAAAAAGTAATAAGAGAAACATTTTCAAAAATAATAATTTTAATTTGAAATCTACCATCATGAAGGGGTGAGGACAGTATTTGAATGTATATGTGTTATTCAGCAGGTATATATATATACACGATGATGTGTTTCTATGTACATCTGAGTCGTGCCTATTATTCTGCCCGTGCATGTATATAAATTGTGTTATACATCTCCATCTTAATATAGTTTGGATAACCCCATATTAAAAATTTATAAATACGTTTTATTTATGAATACATGACTCTTTTATGTGACTATGCTTCACAAAATGACGCGGGAAAATAGATTTTGATTTTACATCTTTAAACCATAAAATTAAAAATTGAAGAAAAATGAGTAGTACGTATAACCAAAAGTTATATCTGATGAGGTAAAACTTGAAGAGAAATAAGTTCTTCCAAAATTATTGTGTTGTAATAAATAAAAATAAAATCAGGAAAGTTTATGAAATTAATTGAGATTAAAAATTATCAAAATTTTCTAAAAACTTTTAAAAGCATCTGAAATTTCGCAAACATTTCACAGCTTTAATAGGAAACACACGAAAATTTACATCACTATTGGTGAATAAAAAGAAAATCTCAAAACAGAAATAATACTTTGGAAGTGGGAAAAGATTCAATTAATTCGACGATTTTGAAATTCTCAAAAATATAACTAAAAAATGGCAGAAAGCTTTCTGTTTTATATGGTAAAGATTTGCAAAAATAGTCTAGAGGTGTCGCTTTCAGTGTTCTTTTGCCAGAGACTCCGGCCCGCAATAAATTGTGGTGATAGGAACAACAGAAAATGGTGGAATCGTTCTTGGAACTTTTCAATGTACTTAATTGTAGTTATAGTGATATTCTACCAAAAAATCACTATGGATGATGTATACAAGTCAAAGAAACTGTAAAGCAGAAATTCATTTACTACTCTATCCGTTTTATTTTAATTGTCATTCTAGGTTTATACACACTGATTAAAAAAAATTTAATTTTACATATTTTCAAGATTAAAACACTTTTACCTATGTACCTAACCACTTTTCAACTAATAGAAAAATAGAATATTATATAAAACTAATAAACTTTGCTTCAAAACTCTAAAACGACACTTAATTTGTGACAAAAAAATAAGCATATAATTATAAGTATTCTGAAACAGAATGAGTACTTTATTAATAAAAAACCTAACTGAACTTCACAAACATATTTAGTTTTTTTTTTAATTTTATAAAATTTTAACTTGAGAATGAGTAGATCAATACATATTATTTATATAATACTAGTATATCTCCCGTGCGAATGTTTGAAACCAAATACAATTTAAATATTAACTTTACTTTTGTAGATTATTGGGGTTTATGTTTGTAGTCTACTCAATTTTTCATGTATATATATATATTTTTTTTGTAGTATTCTTTTTCATCTCTAATGTTATATTTATTTTGTAACTTTTGTTTATGAGAAAATCTACAAAATTTGGTAACATTATAGAATAAAAACAAAACAAAAGTGTATGTTGATCCGTAAGTAAACATAAATAATATCTCTATAAGACTATAAATTATATTTTAAAATAAGAAAAACTAATCTGAATTATGGTCTTGATATAGAGAATAGACATGAGACCTAGTTTCTACTACCTTTTTAAGGTTCTTTTTTTTTTTGTATTATTCCAAATTTGTTATCGGAATTGTAAAGTTTTTTTGCAAAAAAAAAGGTTTATTATGGGCATTGTAAATCTGTTTAAAGGTGAGTTTGTTACTTTCCTTTCTCGAATTACCACCACCACAGGCAATAAACATTTTCTAGCAATTCGAGAATTAATTTAGTCCATTTTAAAATGATATTGATCTGTTGTACTACGTTAAAAGGATAAATATTATATGTAGGTTAGAGGAGATAAAAATTCATGGAAAAAGTTAACATGATGCAAAATATTATTTGAGTATTGAAGAGTTGGGCGTATTTAGTCTCACTAACCTGGACTTTACTCTTCATCTGTCAACTTTGCATTAAGCTTCTCTATAGGAAACTTGTATTTTTTTTCCTTAATCACTGAAAATAAGAATATCTCCAGAAGCAATCTCGTTTGGCTGGTTAGAAATTAAAACCTCAACAACCAATTGCAGAGAGAGTGAAAAGAACCATGGCAAAAAAGTTAGAAAATTACACTGAATCATGTCGAGATGAATTTATAGCACCATGAGTCAAACTTCCTCTATGAGAATTATTAGGGACTTTTGTTACATCTATTTTTTTAATATGAAGAATAAATAGAAATCAATCGGTAAACGTTACTGCTTTTTGTTTTCAACTTTTCTTCACATTACTTTTTTTAAATTGTTAAACATAATTCATATGTGTCAATTTTTTGTTGGTCATGTGATTTGTATTTTAGTATATAAAGGATATTGCTTTAAATCCAGCCAAAAATTTGACAGTGAAACGTGAAACAGTTCGCTAAAATGTCCAATGGAAGCAAGTTGTTACTCTGTTTATGTAATGAAAGTACTATTTTATAAGCCTCACACAATACTCTAAGAATTATTAAACATATGAAGTAATAAAAATTGCAAGTAATGATTTATTGGAGTTCTGTGTTATGTATTTGGAGACAAAAGTGGCAGTAAAGCAGAGTCACTGTGTCTTTTTGCATTTTGGAGGTTGGACCAATTTGAAAACTGGTTTTAAACATTAATCAAGTGGCAAGTTGTATTAGTAGTATTAGTCAATACCCTTTCCTCTAAATTGAACACCACTCCAATGATAAATTGCATAGTTGAACTTGCTTCATAATAGCGTCCGTACTGGATTCCATTTAGTTTATCAATTGCTTACAAGTGCCTCATAAAATAACTCTTCTCTTATTTTAGTATATCTCTATAATAATGTTATTTAATAAGTTAATTTCTTATGTATCACATTTTACGTTAGTTTTTGCACGGTCAATTAGAAAAGTACTTTTAGTAAAGTAAATATTATTTGTAACTGTTATTGTTAATTTTTTATTTAGTAATATTAATCAAAATTTAATTTAGTTCTCTTTTTATTTTGCATATATATAACTCATAAAAAACAAAAACTTATTAACTAACAAAAGTGATTACTAACAAATTATTATGACTTCAATAATTTGTAAATATTTATATCCAGTATAAAAAATCTCTTAGTTCGTAATTATATACTAGTAGTCAATTGTGCAGTAATTTCAAAATTAAAAAAAAATATAAATATTTTATTTAATATTTGGATAATAATATAACTTTGGAAAACATCAGAAATGTTTAGTGTGATATTTATTTTATTTTTTTCTTCATTTTTCCTTTATTTTTTCAAGAAGTTGGTTAAATGTTCTTTGACTTTCTTTTTGCTTAATGCATTTATATATAACAAACCAATTCTTGGATAGCTCAAGATGAGATGACATATACGGTCGTGACGAGGTTAAATCAAATACGATCCACATTCACGAAATTTCTACAAGTTTTATTTTTATAGAACAATAAAACCATATAACATGGCAAATTGCTCGTTGGCATGACATGAACCAATAAATAAAGAATCTCTTTTACATTCTTTATTTTCCGACATAAAACAAATAATTATTTCTGAGTTGTGCTTCCGTGGATCATCATCGTACACAAAAAGTATACACATGCTCCAATTCCGGAGATGATGATGATGATGCACCACATAGGTTTTGGAATATATACACATGCATGCTCCAGTTTTATTTTTATTTTTCTTTATTTTAATTCTGTTTGATAATATTGAAATTAACATGCAACTATATACAAAACTGTTATGAAATGGACAGTCATAGGATTAACTTTTTTTTTTTAATAATAATACCATCTCTACAAAACTTTTTTTACACAAAAATATACACTCTTTTTGTCATCGTTTTCATTGAGTAACAATGTTTAAAAGAGACGCTCTATGTTGAATAAGTCGTCTTGACAAATAACTTAACTCATCCATAATTGCTTCAAGGCTCACACTAACTATAGCTAATCTCCCTATCATTGTTTTCACATCAATAACTTTTGCAGTCTTCTTACCAATGATTCTTCCATAGAAAGAACGGACCATTGAGTTATCTACACATCCAACTTCACCATTCTTCTTTTGTTTCTCACCCGAAGAAGAAAGAAACTGCAAGAGAGACTTGAAGATAGAGATAGTCGATGTGTGTGACTGCCTCAGAATGTTGGACACCATAGAAACATGTTGATCAAGAGTTTTTGACCGTTTGATCACCGGACACTTCTTCTTTGTTTGTGTTCTTGCAAGGGACTTAAGTTGTCTAGACGCTGAGTTCTTGAACTTCTTCTGAAATCTAATGTAAGCTTGGATCTCGCACTGAATCATCGAGATATCTCCTCCACGTCTACGTAAAGTGGATTGAAGATCTTGGATTTGCTCCAAGAATGTTCCTATCAAGTCTCTTGTGAAGTCAGCTACATCTAGTAACAAGATTGACTCATCAAGAGATTCTTCCACAAGCTTTGCGTTGTGAGGAAGGCAAAGAGCTTGTTGACCTTGAGGAGAACAAATGACTTGTTCATTAACAAAGTCGTAGAGCTCAACGAGCCGAGCAAGTCCAAGTTGGATTCGAGAAGAAGCTGATGAAGAAGAGTTTAGATCTTGAATCTTTTTCAGCTCGTCTTCAACTCTCTTTGCTTTTGGATGGATTAGTCTTGTAGGCAAACTAATAGACCTAGTCGTTGCATAGGAAGTTGATGCTGCCATGTCTTGTTTTAGCTCTTCAAAGAAAAGAAGAAGAAAGTTTAAAACAAGTTTTGGTGGATGAAGGTTCAGAGAGACTCCAAAGATATATAAAAGAGGAAAGAGTAACAGATAAATCCAAAAAAAACCTTTTATAAAACCTTAATGAAAGAGCAAATGGGCATGTGTAAAAACCTAATAAAGTGAGTATATCTGCACGAATATCTCCTTTTGCTTAATTTAATTATATCTCTATGTGGTCATGAAGCGAGCAACGTCAAGCTCTCTTGATTATTATGATTATCTTGTCTCCTTCATCATCGGTGGCAAACTCAAAACTATGTTTCATCAGGAAAAAAAAAAACACGACAGCACATAGAAACGTTTTCCAATGAGATATTATAGGTATAAACAAATATTGACACAAAGAAGCAAGCTAAGGCCATTATAAGTCCAAGAATCTAGGGTTTTAAACAATAAGAGAATATTGTTCAATAAGGTCGTGGAACGATTCATTTCCTACTCATGTGTGTATTTATCTACATAGACTTACTATTATTTTCTAGGAGACAAGGAGACAGAAGGTGTCATATATAGAGAATATGACAGACGAGAGAAGAAATAAACAAATCAGAGGAATTTTAATTTTGAGAAATGATTTAAGGGGAGTTATTAAAATGAATAGAGTACTACCACAATGTTGACCACTTGTCCTTTGTAAATCTTCTCTAATTGATCCGTTGAACATTGTCCTCTCTTTAGGCGCTCAATGATTAACAATCTAATTACACTGAGACGTCACAATACTCTGCACTTGGGCTACTTAGTGTTAAAATAAATATTGTTCTTTACGTTTGTGAGGGTTAGTTAATGGAGATTACCGTATCGCTTCCATCTTCTCATGTACAAAGAGAAAACAACAGAACTATATTTGATCAGATACTCTTGTCTGATTTACCAAAGAACATATCAATTTTCAGACTTTAAGGTGAGATTTTAATATATTTAAATTGTTGATTGAATTTAGATTCATTCACTCTGGAGCAAAGGATCGTTTCTTGTTACACAAGTATCTCAACCATAGTATTTTTTTTGTCTAAATTTGAACAAGAAACTCGTATAAGATCTTGTATTAATATTTCAGATGAAACAAACATTGAACAAAATATACAGCAGGCATCCATTTTCCCTTCTCTACAACATTTTGAAGACTGAATATAAATATCAAAAAGAGAAATGCTAAAACAAAAGAAGAAAGTTCTCAGACACAAGCTTCTCAATCCTATAAACGTGTAATGAAACAGAGCAATTTCTTGGCCGTTAGTTAAACACTGCCTTGTTTCCTCTGTGAAGTTGCTTTGATTGTGATTTCGCTTTACAAAAGATCTGTCTGAGAATAGAGTTTGGTGCTAGAGATAATAATTTAGACTAAAATGACAACGTTTGAAATGTAGGTGGCACTAGTATTCTGCTTTTATGTTTGATTTTACACTCATTTCCACTGCGTTAATAGCAACTCTGCTATTTAAATATAAATTTTCTAATATTTTCATAAATATTAAAAACATTAAAACACTACTTACTTCGTTTCATATTAAGTGTCATTGTAGAAAAAAACTTTTATTACAAAATAAATGTCATTATCGATTTTCAATAAAAAATTATTAATTTTATATTGTATTTTTTTATTGGTTAAAATATGGTTAAATGTATAAGTAATTGTGCTTTTATATAGAAAATATATAATATTAATTTTTTTCTAAATTTACACTTAATATGAAACATAGTGAGTATTATAAATGTATTATTTTTTGCAATTATCAATTTCCAAAAATTTAAATGAATAGTAATTCAAGAGATTTAGTTAATTTTCTTAAATTTTACAAATTCTAGAAAACATTGACATCTTTTTGTGAAATACTTTTTTAAGACACCTATTTTAGTAGAATGGAGGGAGTAAAAGTTTCAAGCTCAACAAGCTGATTAGAATGGTGGAGAGAGGAATAAGAAACCGTTTTTCTACTATACAGAGGAATGGTGACAAGAGGTTGGATGGGGTTCTGCGATACTGGTTCTCGACAAGATCAGAAGTTTAAAGTTTAATTTTCTTAACTTTGTAGTAGTGTACAGATAGGAAAATCTTGAAATATGTCTCAAGAAATGATGCATTGTACAATGTAACAAGGGTTTTTTGAATATGAATTTAACATTCATTCAAAAAAAAAAAGTTTCAAGCTCAAAATCTCTCAACTTACCGGGGAAAAAATAGATAAAAGAATGATGGTAATCAGAAAATTAGAGAGTTTTTATTGCTGAGATATCAATAAAGAAAAGAAAGAAAATTCAAATTACAGATCAAATTCAGAGAAAGAATTGAATTTATTCTATTGTTGTTCCTTTTTAAAATTAAAATTGAGAGTGAAAATTAAAATTGAGAGTGAAAATGTCAGGTCTCTTGTTGCTTCTATTGCTGTGGAGAATCTGACACAAGAAGAAAGTGTGCAGCTTCATACTTAGTTGCTATGTATCCGAATTTAGATGAGCTGTATTTTCTACGTACTCCTGTTAATTTATCAGTCGCTGCCTTCTGATGAAGACTCACCATTCTTCTACTACATTCTCTGCAAAAAGAAAAAAAAAACAAACCCAAAAAATGTTTATGGATGCTGTTTTGTTATAAACTTAATCTTTCGTGGTTAAAGAATTTATATAAAGACTTACATGAGTTGGTTCTCAGTGTAGTGACTGTGGAATTCACAAGTGCTGTTCCATTCACTGAAGCCATGGATTGTACATTGAGCTGTGTACACTGCAGTGGCTGCTAGTAACGATGGTGGATACCGAAGCATTTCGTAGTCCACAAGAGCTAGCTCGGTCAAGAACGATGCCAAGATCTCAAGCTGTTTTCAATAGACAAAATTAGTTATAATTCATGCATAGTCTTCTAAAAATCAGTCTAGGCGGCACATAAGTCTATTTGGTAAATCAGACCTAAACAAAACAATTTTCTAGATGGAATTATAACGTGTTCTAAAAATTGGACTAGACAAAATTAGTTATAATTCATGCATAGTCTTCTAAAAATCAGTCTAGGCGGCACATAAGTCTATTTGGTAAATCAGACCTAAACAAAACAATTTTCTAGATGGAATTATAAGGTGTTCTAAAAATTGGACTAGACGGCACACAGATCTGTCTATTTGGCAAATCAGACCTAAACAAAACAATTTTCTAGATGGAATTAGTTATAATTTATGCATAGTGTTCTAAAAATCGGTCTAGGCGGCACATAGGTCTATTTGGCAAATCAGATCTAAACAAAACAATTTTCTGGACGGAATTAGTTATAATTCATGCATAGTGTTCTAAAAATCGGTCTAGCCGACACATAGGTCTATTTGGGAAATCAGACCTAAACAAAACAATTTTTCTAGACGGAATTCTAAAGAAATTGGTGTTGACACCCCTCTAATCAATAATTCCATATAGAAGTCTAAAGACCGCCTAGCGATAGGTTAACAATCTGTTTCAGTAGACAAGAAAGTTGTAAATTCATACCTTCTTGTCTGATTGAGCTGCCTTGAGGAACCTCTTCAAGAAAGGGTATTGCGTCGGCAACGACATGTTGAATTGCAAAGTATTAAGCATAATCTTCTCCTGCACACACACACATAAGCCAGTAAAAATCAGATAAATGTAATCTTTTAACAAGAGATAATATTATACTATTATGAGAGGCCATACCATTTCTAAAACATCGTTCCTAGTATACGCTTTGTCGGAGATAACAACTAAATCTTCAACAATAGGTACAGAAACCTCTTCGTACTTGCAAGCTAATAGCAAGGCAACTAAACCAACAAGCTGAAGCTTCTTCCTTACAACAGCTTGCTTGGATAAAAATCTATCTATCAGATTCACTGTTAGATACAATGTCTCGTTCATTAGCTCGAACTTGTCATGTACCTATAAACATTCCATTAAACTTCTTATTAGCCTCCATTAATTAATGAGTTTCAAATATGATCATTAAGTACATACCTCGATGAGCCAATCGATAAGTATTGCTCTCATTTTATCTGTTATGTCAAACTGTTGCGCCATGTAATCTTGAGGAACACAACTAAATCTCTGCAGAAGATTACAAGAGTTCTTAGACAAGAACCAGTGCTAGCCTGCTAGGGCCCCACTACAGTTTAAATTTTTTTTTTAACTTTTTTTTTTGTAAACATGTCGAAATTAGATATAATAATATTATGTTTTAATAAAGATAGTATTATAAAAATATTTTAGAAACAAAGAAATAAAAACAGTGATTAGTTTTGATAGTAATTTTAAAATATTTTGTTTTTTTTTTCTTTCAAAATAACACTTTAAAATCTATCAAAACTCATACCTCGTTTTCTCTGTAGAACTCGTGAAGATCTTCGACATATTCAACAACTGCAAGAGGGTTGTTTGCATCGTTTACATCAATATCTAAAACTGGTTCTTGTTCCTCCTCCATCTCAACTTCTTCATCCTGTCCGAAATTGAAAGTTCATTTAGAACTCAAAGGCTAAAGAATCTTTTAAAAAAACATTAATTATTAAATTAAATACCATTGGATCAGATTCTATGTATGGTTCCTCTAATGACATTGGCATAGGTTGGTCCAACGTAGCTGCTTCCTTCTCCTCTTCCTCTTCATCAATGAATATACAATCACCAAACTCGTTCCCGCTTGGAACCGATGGTTTCAGCTTCTTTGTCTCTTCTTGAGATCTACAGAAAATTCAAAAATTATCTCAGATCTTTTTATTTTAAATAATAATAATAATAATAATAATAAATAGACGAGGTTTGTTTTTGAGAGAGAGGTAAGTGAATTACTCAGACAAGCCTCTTCTCTTATTAACAACGCAAGGATAAGCTTTTGCACTAACGAGGTTTTGATTAATCACAGACAATGCTCTCCTGTTCTGTCTCTTCGTCTCTAAACCGAACTTTGTGCTTCTCGTTTCATCTGATAGAAAAAAAACAAAACACAACATGTTATGTCGGATTGTCTCTTCGTGTGAGACCTTTGAATCTTCAGATCTTTAAAACGTGTTTTACTAAACTACCTTGAAGAGTTGTTGTAATGGGTTCTTGATTAATCATGTTTGATATTGATTTGAGAAGAAAGCTCAAAACCCACTACAGAAATCTCTGAAGGAAGAAGAAGAAGAGCATCAAACGAAGAGGATGTCTCTCTCTCTGTTCACGTCTGATGCAATTGGATCCTGACGAGTCAGAGAGAAGCCATGATATAAGAGAAGAATTGAGAGGAAATAAGATAAATTAAAATTTTAAAAAAAACAAGATTTTCTATTTTGTTTTTTTTTTTATTATTATTATTGTAAAAGAAAAATAGCAACGGCTAGGTGATTAAGATGACCGTTGGATCATGAAGGAAACGATTTGCTTCTAACTCTGTCTAAGCTAACGGTAACTTTTTTTTTGGTTAGAGAAGAAGGGCATGTGGCTCTCTTATTTCAAATTTATTTATTCCTTTTTTGTATTCTTTGCCTTTTTCAGACAAAGAAGGCTCGTTGCCACTAGCCTTTCCTAGGCGCGTTTGTGTTACACACTTCAAGTCAACATATTCATTATTAAATTTCATAATCTCAGCTTAGTAATTAATCTGTATTAACTATTTATAGAGCTAAAGAGTGGCTCTCTTTCAAAAGAATTATTGCTACCGAGAATTATGCTGACCTTGCCTGTAAGACTGTAGTAAGTGTTTTGGCATTTGTAAATTATCATTAAATTTGGTGAAATTTTTTAACATTCAATTTTTTGGAGATATCTAATTTTTAGGCTAGATGAGTTCTGATCATTAATATTTCAATTGAATTTTGCTCTCCATAGAATGATATGATTATGTTTCCATTTTGTTATTCAATGGGTATGATTGTATCTTGCATATTTGAATTGTAGATATTTTGTAGAGATATGTATCTGTATTCTTTTAGAAAACTATTAAAGTTGGATTATAGTTTAGATATTCTTGAAAATAATTATTAAAACATTTGTTTCACACATATTTATAAACTTGGCAAGAACCAAAGAGTAAAGTTTTCAACATAGTATAAATGTTTGATATGTCATAAACTGTAAACATAATCTTGAGAGTGTAATGTGGTTGACTTCTATTTTTTCTGCAATGTTTTTTTGTCAACATCTTCAATGTTCCAATTATTTAACATTTATCATGAATATTCTACTTTAACTTATAATTTATAAAAATAATTGAATAGCTTCTTTTAGAGAACGCATACTTATTCGTCATGCTTTGACTGTTTATAAATATAACATTTTAAGGTGGAAACGTTAGAAAATGAACAAATTCTTAAGAATATCTAATCTGAACTGAGATCTATATATTCTGGTTTATTACTTGTTTTGGATATTTGGTATCTTTGGTCACAAGTGTGAATGGTGTATTGGTCTTGATAGAGAATAAAGAAGTTTATTTGCCTGCAGGTAAAATAAGTGTTAAGGGGTAAAGTAATAAATCATTTTAAAGAGAACATCAGTAGTTGAAGTCTTGAAGATATGTGGTCTACTATTGAGTATTGTTGACTCTAGAGAAGAACTAGTTGTTCAAACAAAAAACTGAGAAGAACTAGTAAATTAGCGAAATTAATAACATATGTTTACATCAATATGCACTGCATCTAGCATATGTTTCAGTAGTGCTACTTTTACATCTTAAGTTATACTCGTGTCTGCGCGGCATTAACTGTAAATTATTAGTAACTTGTTAGTGCAACTCTCACTTTATTACCCATCCACTGCATTTACTAAACTAGCTTTAGTTAATCATTAATTCAGTGGTTATAATACTTTCGCAGCTTAATACATTCGTTAGCAGTTAAACCAAGATAAAAAAGTTTAAGTAGATGCTAGCTAGTACAATATGGTATGACAGTTAGTGTTTGTGATATGTGTAGATGGTAGTATACATCAGTGTTCAAATTTTAAATAGGAAACATATAGAATGTAATCAAATAAATATCACCATTGAGTAATAATAAGTAATAAATAATATGACGATAAATTACAAGTTACGTCACTGTCAGATGTCTCACATGCATGTAATAATATAGGGATATTTAAAATTTGTTATTTAGCGCAACGATTATTTGCAATCTCCATCTCCGGTCAGATCAAAAACACACTGGAAAAGAGAAACAGTTGCAAGAAAACAAGTTTCGTACTTTCGTTAGACGTTAGAGATGTTTGTGTCTCCTTAAGAAGGTGCGTATGGCTCATCAATCATAGTGGTTATAGTTAATGTTCTGATTCAATATCCCTCAACAATATTAAATTTATATTAATACTTCTGAACCAATACGAATTATAATTGATATGTATTCAGATTACAGTAGATATGTGTTTGGACAATAGTTAGTTAAAAGAAAATCACAATTTTCGTGCAAGTGATTAAAACTTTTAAGAAATCCTTGAACCAGACCCGGTCCGAAGAAAATATAGAGCGAAAGCAAAAAAAATAAAAAATTAACCTATTAATTAAAAATATGTAACTACTATACCTTGAATCTGACACTTCTCACACAACTAATCTAGTTTTAAACCAACTACACTATTGAAGGTATTTGACAATTTAAAGACCGAAAAATTTGATAATTTAATCAAGGTCGGAAGCACGTGTTTATATTGTTTGTACCCAGGGTCACTACTACCTTGAACATCTAAAATATTTATATTCATCATGCATGTAATATAGGGATATTCAAAAATTTGTTATATAGCGCAACGATTATTGCAATATCCATCTCCGGTCAGATCAAAAACACACTGGAAAAGAGAAAAAGTTGCAATAAAACATGTCTCGTACTTTCATTAGACGTTAGAGATGTTTGTGATATATATATTATTTTTTTTGCTAACCATGTTTGTGATATTTTAAAACCTAGGAATAATACATAGAAACGACTTATTTTTTTACAGATCAATAGTCCTAAGTTCTTTTGTTCACATAATACTAGTATGAAAGTTTACATATATATCGTCACAAAAAAAAAAGTTTACATATATATTGCAACATTTGAGTTACTCTAATGCACAAAAAGAAAACACAATGCACTATAATAATATGGGAGTTCACCAAACACATTAGAACATAAAAACCAAAGAGACTACAAAACCTTATTATCGTGCCTTGAAAAAAAACAACATCAAACAACCATTTATTTCTCTATTCGAAATCATCCACGCCGTCGTTTACCTTCAACTGCGCCAACTCATTATTAATACTTTATATATAGTGATGAGGGGAGGAGTGAGAAGAACTCGCACAGACCGAATTAGAAGAAGAATTAAGGGCCTGCTGGGACGACGTTAATGCGTTGGATATTTTCGAGTACGTCGAGTACTTCTTTCATGTGAGGTCGGTTTTTTGGGTCTGGTTCGGTACAAGAGTGAGTGATACGTCCCATTTCGGTAGCCACCTTGGAAGAGTATTGACCTTTGATTCCTTTGTCCATTATTTGGTTCACTTTGTGTTTGCTTAAGAGTTTTGGTCTTAACCAATCAACTAGACTCTCTTGTCCCTGAGGTCGTTTTCGGTCAAACACTCTTAGCCCAGTCATTACTTCTAGTAAGACCACACCAAAGGCATATACATCACTCTTGACGTATAAATGTCCTGAGAGTCAAGAAAATAATCAACCGTTTATTATTCATTAATTCAACATATATCGGCTAATCAACTGGAATACTGTTACTCAAAATAAAATAAAAAACTTGAATGAAGAATATCAACAAGGTCGAAGAGACTACTAGTATTTAACAACTTTTGATACCATTCTTGATATTATGGACTTAAGATATCATCATCATCTATCTTTTGTGTACATTTCCATATTGTAAGCAAGGCGTTTCTACTTTACTTGTTCCAAATTCTTTGGTGATAAAGGCATCATTAATCCCGATCTCTTAGTTGGGGTTCTTAACTTATGATTTCATATTTTTTTGTTTAAGAGAACTTTTATATTTATTATTTAAGAGATGATTTTTAGCTTTACTTAGTTAAAATCTAAGAAAAACTAAAAATTGTTTCTTATCCGAAACTAAGAACCTCAGTTAAAGACTGAGGTTAATGATGGTCAAGTCATCTTAACTATCTAAGGTTTTATCAAAGTCCACAACTCTTTTTTATAGTAACAAATATAGTTGGTATTTCTTTATTTATGTACCTGTTGCCATATATTCAGGAGCAGCGTAACCAATTGTTCCCATGACCCTAGTCGAAACGTGTGAATTTCCTTGTGATGGTCCTAACTTTGCTAGTTCAAAACCTGAAATCTTCGCTTCATAATTCTGTGTGGATATATCAAGCGATAAATCTCATTAAGAAAAAAATACAGAATCTCTTTCGATTTACGCGACTTTCACATAATAATCATTTAATTAGACTAACCGAGTCGAGCAGTATTTGGGAAGGTTTGAAGTCTCTGTAGATGACTTGTCTTTGTGAGCCGTGTAGAAATGCAAGGCCACGTGCTGCACCGATCATAATCTTGATCCTTAAATCCCAAGGAAATGACTCTTTTCCTGAATCAAATTTAGTAAAGATTATGCAACAAAAATCAAAGTTTTTAAGAATCAGTCTTTGTTTATAACTAGAAATGCTATGTGTGTTTTAAAAATTATTTATTACGTTCAAAAAGATGATAATCCAGGCTTCTTTTGGGCATGAACTCGTAGACAAGCAAGTGCTCTTTGTCTTCATGGCAGTATCCTAATAGCTTCACCAGATTTGGGTGTGAAAGAACCCCCAAGAAATTAATTACTGTCTGTCCAGAATCAAAAACAAAACCACAAAAATATAATATTTAGCTTGTTTAACTTGAATATTATCTTTAAGAATAAAATAAGGAGCTCATCGATTACAAACCATCGAATATTTTTTTGATAATTTGGAAATACAGTGAAACCTCTATAAATTAATAATGTTGGAACTACACCAAAATTTTATTTTTTTATTACTTTAGAGAGATATTAATTTATCGATATACTAATCGAACTAAAAACTCAATTAGGGACTACAAAATTATATTATTTTATAGAGATATTTAGTGTATATTAATTTATCGAATATTAATTTATAGAGGTTCTATTGTACCATAAAAGTTAGTATAAAAGTTTCTATAGATTCCTAAATTTAAAACTATTAGTTTCCTAAACCATGTGTACAAAACATGTTTTATTTATTAGAGTTCTATTTAATATTTCATTTAATCATTCTACTCTACAAGATAGCAATAAGAAGTCAAGGTCGTCTGTTGACTGGATTAGTCAAATAGTAGTAATGGTGTTTGTTGAAATTACGTAACCACTATACGTAACAAATATCGCAAAACAAATTGTCTTTTGACTTACTTGCCAGTCTTCAAACCTTTGAACACTCTCGGAGCTCAATCTTTTGACGGCCACGGTCAAACCGGAGCCGGTTACAGAAGGTGCAAGAGTCTCAGGATGGATCCACCCTCTATAAACTTTACCAAAGCCTCCTTCACCCACCATCAAATCCTGTTTGAAACCCTTCGTCGCTATCTTGAGGTCAAAAAAGCTGTAGACTTCGAGATTTGGCGGTTCCAGTATCTGCCCTGAATCACTCATAATCCCACCGGCACTCTCGCTTGCAGCCTCCAAGAATTCGCTTCCTCCTCCGACGCTATTGTTTGTCGAGGCTGATTTAACCATATCACAAAGGCAAGAGAAAGAGATATCAAAAAGTGAGAGAGATTTGTGTGACGTTGGAAAATTTTTGCTAAGAGAATCTTGTAATGACCTAGAGATAAGAACAAGAACATGCACAAGAGTTTTATGTATTTGATTAAATTCGAAGAGATTGATTACCATGACTATGGAGACCTGTTTTGGAAGGTGGGGAAGAGAAAATGGATGAAATACAAAGCCCCATTTCACTAGTCTTGTTTTTTTCCTTGTTTACCGATTCAGACAAGAGCTATGGAATGATCAAGTAGCTATTTGAGCTTTTATTGCTTGAGTTTAGAATATTTGAAAATATGGGTTGTAATATCATGGAAAATAATAAGGGAAATTTGGGGGCATAGAAGAAGATTGAGAGTGAGGAAGGGGGTATAAACTTCCTATATTTGACCATTTCCATGTTTGGGTCTAATTTATCATTGAATGCATTCTTTTCAACTTCCAATAAATAGGAAAGTGCCAAGAAGATCGATCAAATAAAGAAAAAATTGGAAAAAATAGACATTTTCAACTAAGATTATCCCAATAGAATTTGTAGAAGATTATTTAGGTAACTTGGATTTATATTCCTTTTAATACCATAATACCCTCTCACTTATCTAATGTAAAATTAATTTTTGTAATATATTTAAAATTTTATAAAAGAGAAAAGTTTAAAAAGGAAGTAAAAAAAAATCTTGAAAGGGGTAAAACAAAGTTAAGTGTAGTGTTTCACCTTTTAACCTAATTTCACCAAGCTCTCTTCTCCCCTGAATCCTTCAAGCCCCATCAATGACTATAATGACGATTTAGGGTGAAAGTCTTATTTCTAAATTCTCTATCATATATTTTTTCGTATCTAATCTCGTTTTTTTTTCCTTCTTTTTGTTCTCAAACAGGAATCAAGAATTGAAGATTTGTTTTTCCTCTACTGGTTTCGTTGGGCAGTCTTCTTCTTTGTATGCGAATTTCGTCGGAGGATCCCTTCAAACTTTTTAAAAGCTAGACCTTAACCTAGAAATAATTTCTTTCGTTCACATGACATTGTATGAAAGTTTCCATATTTTATTTTGCCACGTTTGAGTTACTCTGGTATGTAATACAACACAATGCACTAATAATATATATCTTCACCAAACACGTTATAGTTACTCTCATCTTAAAACATAAAAAACCAAGAGATATAAAACCTTATCGTGCCTTGAAGAAAAACAACATCAAACAACCATTTATATCTCTATTCGAAACCGTCCAAGCCTTGTTCATCTCCTGCTGCGCCAACTCGACATCAATACTAATAGTGATGTGGGTCAACGTTGATGCGTTGTATGTGTTCCAGTACGTCGAGTACTTCTTTCATGTGAGGTCGGTTTTTGGGGTCTGGTTCGGTACAAGAGTGTGTTATACGTCCCATTTCTGTATAGCCACCTTGGAAGAGTATTGACCTTCGATTCCTTTGTCCATTATTTGGTTCATTTTGTGTTTGCTTGAGAGTTTTGGTCTTAACCAGTCAACTAGATTAGCTTGTCCTTGAGGGCGTTTTGCGTCAAGCACTCTTAGTCCAGTCATAACTTCCAGTAAGACCACACCAAAGGAGTATACATCGCTCTTGACGTATAAATGGCCTGAGAGTTAAGAAATAATCTACCGTTATTATTACATTCAACATATCAGCTAGACAACTTAAATACTCTCAAAAAAAGAAAATAAACTTGAATGATTAGGGCATCAATATCGGTGGTCCGTTAGCATTGTCCTTAGCGGAAAAGTCTCTTAGCTTTTAACTAAAAACGTTAAAAACTAAGGAAAAAGGTAAGGGACTTTCCCGCTAATGAACCACTGATAATGTTGCTCTTAATATCAACAACGTAACAGAGGTTCTTAACAACTTTTGATACCATTCTGGATATCATGGACTTCAAACCTATTAAGCTTGCATCGTAGCTTCACCATAGCTTGATGATATCCTTTGTGTACATTTCCATATTGTGAGCAAGGCATTTCTACTTTACTTGTTCGACATTTTAAAGTGATTAGTTCATCTTAACTCTGTATGAACCCTAAGGTTGTCAAAGACTCAAATTCCATAACTATTTCTTAAAGTAACAAACTATTGTTTATGTTTTTCTTTATGTACCTGTTGCCATATATTCAGGAGCAGCGTAACCACCTGTTCCCATGACCCTAGTCGTAACGTGCGAATTTCCTTGTGATGGTCCTAACTTTGCTAGTCCAAAACCTGAAATCTTTACTTCATAATTCTGCGCGGGTATATCAAAAATAATCTCATTAAGCAAATTTAAATAAAAATTAAAATTAAAATATAATAATAGTTTACTTATAGACTAACCGAGTCGAGCAGTATTCGGGAAGAGTTGAAGTCTCTATAGATTACTTGTCTTTGTGAGCCGTGAAGAAATGCAAGGCCACGTGCTGCACCGATCATAATCTTGATCCTTAGATCCCAAGGAAATGGCTCTTTTCCTAAACCCAATTAAATAAAAATATCATGCAAACTAAATAAATGTTCTTGAGAATCAGTCTTTTATTGACAATGGACAGTAACGCTAAGTTCGTTTAAATCTTATATTCAGTACGTTTAAAAAGATGATAGTCAAGGCTTCCTTTGGGCATGAACTCGTAGACAAGCAGGTGCTCTTTGTCTTCACGGCAGTATCCTAATAGCTTCACCAGATTTGGGTGTGAAAGAACCCCCAAGAAATTAATTGCTGTCTGTCCAAAATCAAAAAAAAAAACCACAAAATCTAAAATTTAGCTTTTTTAACTTGAATATTATCTTTAAAATAGAAAAGGAGCTCTCGATTTAAACCATTGTACAGTAGAACCTCTACAAATTAATACTCGATAAATTAATATACACTAAATATCTCTATAAATTAATATAATTTTATAGTTTTTGGTTCAATTAGTATATCTATAAATTAATAAAAAATAAAATTTTGTTGTAATCCCAACATTATTAATTTATAGAGGTTTCACCGTATAATTCGGTATTAGACCATTGGTAAATACCATAAAAGTTTAAAAAGTTTCTACAGATTCCTAAATTTAAAACAACTAGTTTCCTAAACCATGTGTGCAAAATATGTTTTATTTATTATAGTTCTACTTAAGATTTCATCTAATCATTGTGCAAGCACAATAGAAAGTCAAAGTCGTCTGTTGACTGGAATAGTCAAATAACTAATGGTGTTTGTTAAAATTACGTAGAAACTAAAGGTAGTCTGTTGACTTACTCGCCACTCTTCAAACCCTTGGAAACTCTCGGAGTTCAATCTTTTGACGGCTACGGTCATGCCGGAGCTGGCTACACAAGGAGCAAGAGTCTCGGCGTGGATCCAACCTCTATAAACTCTACCGAAGCCTCCTTCACCCAACATCGATTCTTGTCTGAAGTTCTTGGTTGCCCTCGCTAGTTCAAGAAAGCTGAAGACTTTGAGATTTGGCGATTCCAATATCTTCCCTGGATCAGTAATAATCTCACGTGAACTCTCGCTCGCAGCTTCCAAGAATTGGCTGCTGTTTGACGGCAAGTCTGTCCCATATCACAAAGGCAAGAGAGAGATCAGAAAGTGAGAGAGCTTTTGTGTGACGTTTCGAAAACTTTTGCGAAAAGAATCTTGTAATAACCTAGAGATAATAACATGAACATGCACAAGAGTTTTATGTATATGGAGTCAAAGATGTTGATTACCATGACTATGGAGACCTGTTTTGGAAGGCGAGGAAGAGAAAAGGGATGAAATACAAAGGCCCATTTCACTAGTCTTGTTCTTTTACCGATTCACACAAGAGCTATGGGATGATCAAGTAGCTATTTGAGCTTTTATTGCTTGAGTTTAGAAGATCTGAAAATATAGGTTGTAATATCATGGAAGGGGAATAGAAGAAGATTGAGAGTGAGGAAGGGGGTATAAATTTCCTATATTTGACCATGTTTGGGTCTAATTTATCATTGAATGCATTATTTTTCAACTTCCAATAAATACGAAAATGCCAAGAAGATCGATCAAATAAATATCACAGCCAAAGTTTTTTTGACTGTTTTTCACAATGTGCATTTTGGTCAAAATTTATCAACAGTGATATTTGATCATCTTTCACATATAATTTTCTAGACATTATTTGAGAAATTATTTGTCATGTGTCTTTACTACAATCACTTTCACTAAAAAAAGATGACATTGCATAGTAGAAAAAATGACATAGCTTAAAGCAAAATGTGACATGGACAATTATATTTAATATTCGTTTTTATTTTAATAATTTTTTAAAATATTGTAATAACTCATAAATCATCATTAAAATAAATATATTTAAATCTAATATTAATTAATATAAAATATTTTACAAATTAAATATTATTTTATTCTATTTGTATAATCCTACAATTCTTATTACTAAACAAGATGTTCAAAATTGTATACAATATTTTTCGGACATTATAAATTTTTAATCAATACCATTTATTTTCTTTTAGTATCTACAAATTTTAGAAATCATGTTTAGTTTTATTTTTGATAATTATACAGTTTCATATCATTTTATAATTTTAGAGAAGTTGATTTAATATATCTTAACCCAAAGAAATAAATAAAATTTTATCGAAGATTATAATTTTAATATATACATATAATTCTTAAATATAATTTAAACTAAATCAAATATTTTTTATCTGAGATTTAAGTTTAGCTAAAATAAAATTTATTTTAAATTATTGATAGCAATAACAAAATCTAATATATTAACAAATTTTATTTTTAAATATAATTTAAATTTAAAAAATTTATTGCTGCATATGGTGCAGAAAAACATCTAGTAATCTTATAAGAGTTGAAAAACTCTAGTATCTCATTTTTATACAACAACACAAGAAAACACTATTCTATACAATTCACACTTTAATATGGTATCAAAATAATTAGTTACTCTGATTTTAAAATAGAATAGAGTTTAAAAAAATAGAATAGAATAGAATCAAAAGGACTCTGAAATATCATATCATATCAGTATGGCCGATAAATAAATAACATCAAGCAACCATTTCTTTCTGTACTCCAACCCTTCCAGGCGACTGCCTTGGCGTCCTTTTCCGTTCAGCCCCCGCCGCGCCAGCTCGATATCCATACTGATAGTGAAGTGGCGAGGAACGAGAAGAGCTAGCAGCAGCCGGTTTAGTTGAAGAACGGTCAGGGACAACGTTAATGCGTTGGATGTTTTCGAGTAAGTCGACTACATCCTTCATGTGTGGTCGGTTTTTTGGGTCTAGCTCGATGCAAGAGAGTGTGATGCGTGCCATTTCTGCTGCTACTTTGGACGAGTATTGACCTTTGATTCCTTTGTCCATTATATGTTTTACTCCGTGTTTGCTTAATAGGTCTGGTCTTAGCCAGTCGACCAGACTTTCTTGTCCGTTGGGACGTTTTGTGTTGTGTGCCCTTAGTCCGGTCATGACTTCTAGTAGTACTACACCGAAGGCATACACGTCACTCTTAACATATAAATGTCCTGAGAATGAACAAATTAACGGTTATAAAATATTATAGACTTAAAGTCCATACATTTTTTTGTTATAAATTAAACTAATGGTTAATATATGTTTCCTAAGTGTACCTGTTGCCATATATTCAGGAGCAGCGTAACCATACGTGCCCATGATCCTAGTCGTAACGTGTGACTTCTCTTGTGATGGTCCTAACTTTGCTAGACCGAAATCTGAAAGCTTTGCATCATAGTTCTGCATCAGATGAACATTTTCAAAACAAAATCTCATTAGCAAAGGCAAAAATTTTAAGTTTCTACTAATTACCATAACTATCATATAATAGATGTTTTAATTAGACTAACGGAATCGAGAAGTATATTGGATGCTTTGAAGTCTCTATATATGACTTCTCTTGGTAAGCCGTGAAGAAACGCAAGACCACGAGCTGCACCAATCACAATCTTGATCCTTAGGTCCCAAGGAAAAGGCTCACCTCCTGAATCAAGTAAAATATCATGCAAAGTAAATAAAAAAACGAACCAATCATAGTTATGTGGGATTAAAGATCTTCTTAATTACGTCTGAAGAGGTGATTCTCAAGGCTTCCTTTGGGCATGAACTCGTAGACAAGGAGAAGCTCCTTGTCTTCACGACAATATCCTAATAACTTCACCAGATTTGGGTGTGAAAGCATCCCCAAGAAGTTAATTTCTGACTGTCATTAAAAACAAATCTCAAATTTAGCTTATTAAGATTAATATAGTTCCGTTAAAACATAAAATAAACCAGCTGAGAGATCTTGGACTCCTAAGCTGACCAATTAAAGAATTCATAACTTTTACCAAATAGTGAATTATAATGTTACATATAAATAATTTTATATAGCTAATAACATGTAACTACGTGTCCCCAACTAAAAGTCCAGCAGTAACAATCATAAAGCAATTTTTTGTTGTCAGTGTTAGACAATTGATAAAATAAACAAAGACCTATAGCCGCCTGAATTGAAAAATATTAATCTCCTAAATCTTAGTATAAACATGTTTTATATTATTATGATAAATATTTCTTTTAAACCATTGTGCAAGACTGCAACAGAAAGTCAAGATCATTTCCTGATTAGAATAGTCAACTCTTTAGATCAAATAACGTAATTATTGGTTTCTTTGTGTGTGTTGAAGTAATCAAAATCTGAAAATAATTAAGAGAATTTAGATCTTACTCGCCACTCTGAATAACCTTGAACACTCTCGGAGTTCAATCTTTTCACGGCCACGACCATACCAGAGGCTGCTTTAGAAGGAGCAAGAGTCTCAGCATCGACCCAACCTCTGTACACTTTCCCAAAACCTCCTTGACCCAACATAGAGTCTGGTCTGAAGTTCTTGGTCGCGGTTGTTAGTTCAAGAAAGCTGTAGACTCTCAAAATTGGTGATTCCAGTAGCTGACCAGAATCAGTCATAATCCCACCGGAACTCTCGCTTATAGTCTCGGAGAATTGGCTCCGTCGTGTGATGCCGCTGCTGTTTGTTGTTGCGGCTGTTGATGAAGAGAACTCTGTGCCGTTACTGTGGTTGTTCGTTGAGGCTGATTAATCATTCACAAGGACAAAGAGATTAAAGAAAAAAAACAAGAACGTGCAGAAGTGTTTCTTGATTATAGATTAGAGAGATTAGTAATTAATTACCATGACTATGGTGGAGACCTGTTTTGGAAGGAGAGGAAGAGAATAGAGATGAAATGCAATGGCCCATTTTATTAGTGTCTTCTTCTGGCTTGTTTCAGACAAGAGCTAGTGGATGATCAAGTAGCTATGAAGCATTCATTATTTGAGTTTCAGATAATTAAAGAGGGGTGTTGCAATATAATCTTTGATTTAATGAAAAGGAAACAAAAAAAGGGGGAGGAAGTTTGAGGGGTGTATAGGGGATATATAAGAAGATTAGAGAGTTCTTCTTTTAGATTGTGGAAGAGAAGGTCTGAGGAACCCACCATTCGTTAGTATGACATTTTCCATGTTTATGGTCTTATTTGTCAATTTTTATGCATTTCTATTTGAATTAACATGAATTAGAATTATATAAGAAAATGCCAAGAAGACCAAATAAAATATCTTAGCCAGATCATTTCTGAACGTGTGAACTAGAAAAAAAGGTTGTTAGAACTTTGTTTTACTTGGAAGATTGATAAATAGTTTCATTGTATTCCACATTTTTAGAACTCATGTTCACATCATAGTAAAATTACTATAGGTAATTTCTCTATTTAAAATTACTAGAGGATGAAAAAATCAACTAAAAACTATATGGACAACCAAGAGGCAATAACTCCGCATTTTATTTAATCAATAATCTTTTTCGCTTATGGTCTTGTAACACTCAGTACTCTTCCCTTTGAATAATCTCGTAATACACCATTTGATTTACGGACACTGTAACATAAGCTATTTTCAGTTGAAAAATGTAGATAGGATTATATATATATATATATATATATTGAATATAAAGAATGAAGTACTACTGTATATATATTGTGTACAGTGATGTGAAATGGAACATTTATAAAGTAAAAAAGGTCGTTTCTTTGTCCAGGCAAAAATGCTAAGTGACTTTGTGAAATTTATTTTCCACAATCCCTACTAATAATTCGGTATCTATTATTCTTAAACAAGTTGCTTTAAAAATATGAAAATTGAAAAGTCCTTTCTCAGAAAAAAAAAAAAATTGTCAAAGCTACCCATATGTTAACCTTTATCAAAATAAATTTATATACCAAATAGTCATAAAGTTCTTATATAAAAGAGTTTCGGAGTAATTTCATAAAAAAATGCTTTATATGGAACACACAATTTGACATTATTTTCAATTTAAAATTTCTTTGGATAATGGATTGCATTTATGTAAATTGCTCGGAACGTTTCAATATTAAAACAACAACAAAAATTGATTAAAAACATTGAATTGTTTTCCAGATCAGATGAAAACTAAAATTTGGTCCACAAAATCAATGGAGATAAATTTAACAAAAACATGTTTTTCATCATTGTAGACACACACTCACACATACATACACACTTGAAGTGGTCTATCAAAGTTTGGAACCTCATTATACGGTACACGTCCCTTAATTTAATCTGGTCTTTGTTGTGTGGTCAGTCGGTGTAATATTTTCAAAGCACGAGCTAACAAAAGGGACCACTCAAGAACACACGATACACACTAGTTGCATTAACTAAATTATCATCACACAATTGAAAGTTTTGAATCTTGACTAAAGATTGATCTGAGTCAGTTAAGAAACCAAGCTTTTAAAACGAATTTGATCTTCTACCAAACTGCACTATCCCAAAAAGAAAATTATATTTTGTTTCCGGTTTCCCATCACAAAAAGTCATGACACCGAAACAAAAAGTTCTCAACCCAACATGGCTTTAACCTTGTGACTAACATTTCTAGATACTAAAAGACTTCACAGAAGTCCTAACCAACTTTATGTTCAATTTTTTTTGTTAAAAGACTTAGAATCTTTAAGTGGAAGAGGAAGTGATAAGAGATTGTTGTTCTTCTTGGTTCTGGAAGCTCTGTCTTTTTTCTTGTATGAATGCTCTTTACACTGTCAGAAGAAATGTGTCATTGGTTGTCCGAAGAAAACAAAAGTCCGCAAAGACTGGAGAATTTATTTATCAAAGAAACTTTTTTAGAATGTTTCCTTTTTAACGCAAAAGAACCTACAGGAAAATAAGACACTATTTTCTGTTAAAAGACTTGGAATCTTTAAGTGGAAGAGGAAGTGATAATAGATTATTGTTCTTCTTGGTTCTGGAAGCTCTGTCTTTCTTTTTTTAAGTTATCTTGACTGAATCTTTTGAAGATGATGAGCCTTTCCAAGCTGTCGAAGCTCCGGTTGGTGTGTAGATTACATACGTATCACCTTCCATCTCAGCTTCCACGTTAGCATACCGGAACCCTTTCAACACCTGGAGAGATTGAAACATGTGCACAATGTTCAGCCTTCTGTAGACTACAATATATGACATAATATAATTAATGTTCCAACTAACTAAACCTCTAAAGAGACTAAATTATAGGTGAATATCTCTGAGCACACACATAAGCAGGTTCAATCACTGCATGTAACATCTACATAAGACTAAATTTTACCAGAAAGTGGAAGACACAACCAATAGGATATGAATCCTGCAAAGTTATATTTTCTACGTGGAATTAGTCATTATTTCACGACTGGTTGTGAAAAGAAAAGCAAGAGTACATAATACTCTAAAATACCTTTAAGGATGATAAACATAAACAGAGATCTTTGACTGATTTAATAGAGAACCCAGAATAACTATACCAAAAGTCAATATGTGCCTTCACAATGTTAGGCATTTCATTCTCAAGGACACAAAAACCACCAGTATAATCAACCAAGAATGAGACATCTATGTATGACAACCCCCACCTTCATCATTGCTAGTTATTTCAGTTGAATTACACAAACATAAAATCTTTAAAGAAGGCACTCATTTTCATAGGTGAAAATGGTAAATCAGGACACATCCCACCACATACAAGCCGTCAAGAACAGAACAAATTGAATAAAAGCTTGTTGACAGATTCATCACCACCTGTGTGAGGGATGCAAGACTCATCAATTTTCTTAAAAACAAAATAGGTGAAGAAAGATCAACAAGTACCTTTGGCGTCTAACTACACAGTTGTGGCCCATACTCCAACATCAACTTCAGTAGACAAATAGTCTAGAACTGAAAAGAAAGATATGTCTTTAAGAATAAGAAGTCATATCGTTTTCTTCTTCATCAGTTACTATAGCTCTGCAGAAACAATAAGATCGCCTAAGGATCTAGTTACAGAGAGATTTTTTTTTAAGAGCACAAAAAGAGAGAGGGAGAGAGATGGGTAGTTCTTTAGATTACAATGCACCATCTTCGAGAAGAACTTGCAAGACCGGTTTAGGTGGTTGCAAGACCGGTTCGATTCCAACATTATTACCGTTAGGAGAAACGCACGTGTTTTGTGCCGATAACTCAAACCTTCAAGAGAAATATAGCCGTTACGAAAGGTGCTAGCTTCTCTATAAATATACAACACTCAACTCAAAAATCAAACTCATAAACACTATAATCAGACAACAAACCAAACCATTGTCCCTCCTTTCTTTCTCCTCCAATGATATCAATGTTAGAAGAGGACCGCTAAATGTCAAAATACAAACCCCCAACCTCTTTCCACTAAAACTCTCTCTCTCACTATCTGTAGTAAATTTTTAATCCCGTTTATGTGCAATGGAGAAACCACCAGAAAAAAAAGTGAACAAGAGTTTCGGCGGCTCAAAGACCAAACCGGTCTTGGGGGAATCACTCGTTTTTTGAATAAAGGCTCAAAGACTCTCAGAGGTGGAGCTTCTGGTTTACATGGCTGCCGTCCTCCTGCTCGAGTACCTCGCTGCTGAAGTAAGTATCTCAATTCAGATATTGTTTAGCCAAAATTAATGTCTGATTTCTAAGATCTGTGGTGATTTCAGGTGTTAGAGCTTGGTGCCAGAAACAACAAGAAGTCCGACGACCGTTCCCAGCCATCTCCTTCTTTTGCCGATTAGGAACTATGAAGCTTTTACCAAATTTTTCTTCTTTTTTTTTTGGTTAAACTTTTTTTAGAGTAATTTTCGTATATATATATTTAGAAAGGGGCGAGAGAGAGAGAGGGAAGAGAGGAGAGGGAGAGAGAGAGAGGAGGGGGCCGTGAGGGGGCACCCCTGGGAGAGGACACCGCCCGGGAGAGGGGAGCGGGCGCCGCCCGGGAGAGGGGAGCGGGCGCCGCCCGGGAGAGCGCTGCCCAAGAGAGTGCCACCAGAGCGCCGCCCGGGACGCCGCCCGGGAGAGGGGAGAGGGCGGCGGCCCGAGAGGCGGAGACAGCCCGGGAGAACGTGCCCGGGAGAGCGGAGAGCGTGCCGGGAGAGGGCGTCGCCCGGGAGAGCGCCGTCCGGGAGAGTGCTACCCGGGAGAGCGCCACCCGGAAGAGCAAGCGCCGCCCGGGAGAGGCAGCTCGCAGCTCTCTGGCAGCTCTCGGAGAGGCAGCCCTCAGGTGAGGCACCCGAGAACAGTTCGGGAGAGACAGCTCGGGCAGCTCGGGAGAGGCAGCTCTCGGGTGAGGCAGCTCGGGAGAGGATCGGGTGAGACACCCGAGGCAGCTCGGGACAGAAGAGGCAGTTTGGGAGAGAGCTCGGGAGAGACAGCTCGGGAGAGACAGCTCGGGAGAGACAGCTCGGGAGCGGGAGGCTCGGGAACTCGGGAGAGAAAGAGAGCGAGAAAGAGAGCTCGGGAGAGAGTGGTAAAATTCCTTTGGTTCTCCCCTATAATTACCAGTCACTCAAACAACTTACGTGTACTCCGTTTTTATTGTCCTCGGTAAACTTTTATCAAACTATCTCGTAGTTTCTTTTTGAATAATTTTACAGATGTTAAATTGGTAAATGAATTAGAGATGGTCAATTCTGATTTATTACGGCTTGTGATTTTGGCTTTCCCTTTTTGGGGTTTTTTTTTCCACTTAAGTCATGAGCTGCGCTAGTTGTATGTTCGACGTTGTATGTTTGACGGTCGATATGAATTTTGCTAGGCCTGACCCAATATATTTTTTGATGATAAAAACAACCGTTAATGGGTGGTTGCATTCTGAGTTTGATTTGTTTTATATAGATTTAGTGGCCGAAGTGGAGTCAAGTAGTGGATTCATAGAGTCAAGATTATTTCTAGAAAACGTGATAGGACAATGATATGAAGACAATGGCCCAACTTTAATCTAACAATTTAAAAACAAAGATTAAGAAATGAAGCTTACACTATTTTGAGTCCACTTTGGCTACTAGTATGTATTAATTTTGTCAAATTTACTTGAGAAAAGGGCAAAGCTTGCCTAGCAAGCTTAGAGGTCACTTCCAAGAAACGTGTCCAAGAATATTCAAAGCTGTTTTTCTGATATAAATAAATACATAACCTTCGTCTTCCATAGTAACCTGAAAGTAAACTCAAACACTCTGTAAACTCCCATCATGTCTCTATTCGCGTCCTTCTTTGGCTGCTTCGTTTCAAACTCTGGCTCAAAGATTAACTCAATCGATGGTAGTAATACTAGTAACTCAAAAGTCATGTCTCTGGAGAAACCAAAAAGAAAAAGTGATACTTCAAGAGCTCCGATCATAGTGTCTTATTTTCCAGTAGGTTCGAATCTTTCACGTTTGTAAGAGAAGAAGATAAAGTGAAGTGTGGGACCTTTACAAATTTTGCTGTAATGTGAAGGCTTTCTTCTTTTGTTCCTCTTGTTTCTTTGATTATGCATAAATTGTAATAGATCTACCAATGAGATCGAATAACAGCATGTATATAAACTGTATTATTTAAACGTTTACATATTCTGTATAAAAGTTACAAAAAAAAATAATAGTAAGTCTTTTAATTAGTATGAAAGAGGAGATAGAGTGACTGTGTGAGTGTTCATGGATAGATAAAGTTTTATAGCGGAGACATGTAAATGGTCGACATTTTGTTAATTAACAAATCACAACCTCTATATATTATTAAAATTGAGACTTTGAAAATTTATTAATTTATAAAAATATTAATTTAAAAAAGTTTTCTTATTTAGATTTTTTATTTTAAGATATATTTATTTTGACTATGTTTAGATTTATGAATCCATTTGTTTCCCCAAAAAAAAAAGATATATTTATTTTAAGATAAGAAAATATTTAATTTTAATAGATAGACATTATTTTTTTAAGACATTAATTATTACTTTTAAAAATTTATAATTTATATTATTTAGTGAATACAATAGATATTGCATATAATTTAAATTTGGTTTTATATATAGTATTATTAAATCTCATCAAAAATATAATCAAAAAAATATAAAGATAATTTTACTGTAAATATAAAACAAACAATATAGTGATAATTTCTTATTTATATAAAATATATATACATATAAATTATTAATTTATAATTTTAATAGAACCATATATTTATATTGAATTTTTTTTTTAAATATTATTTTATCGATTTATGTTGAATTTTGAACCGATCCAAATTATAACCAATAAATTTTATTACTTTATAGAGGATATTAATTTCCCTCGTAATAATTTATTGATGTCCTACTATATTAATATTTTCACATGCAAATAGTGGGTAAGCGCATAATCTTTTTTTATGTTAAAAATCATTCTGCCAGTAAATTATATTAAATACATGTTGCGTGGCGCAAGAAAATGAAATAAGATGGACGGTCGAGATTCAAAGTACAACATCTTAGTTATCTTACCTGGCAAATCCCGCCACATCCCTAAATATAGCATTCTTTTTTGAAAAACAAATCTGGAATTGATTTTAAATACATGAATACAAAAAGCCCATCAGATTTGCAAAATAAAACTAAAATAAAAGACCACAAGCAAAGAGAAAAAAAAAAAATCTAAATCGTCAAACAAAAAAAAAAAACCCTAACGTTCGTTTACAGGTAAACCTCTCTCTCTCTCTCTCGCTTACTCTCACCATGAGTCATAACTCTTTTGATTCCTTCCTTCACTTTTGTTTCGCAGATCTACAGAGATGAAAGGTGGTGAAACCAAAGCTCAAGCGAAGAGCACTAACGATAAGTAATCTTCTAATCCCACACTTCATTTTTTCAAGAGATTTACTCTTTTATTTGATTTCTAATTCGATTTTCTCAGGTTGAAAACGAGAGGGAAGAAAGCTGGTAAGAAAGTTAAGGATCCAAACAAGCCTAAGAGGCCTCCAAGTGCCTTCTTCGTCTTCCTGTAAGTATTTTTTTTTGTATTCTGCGTGCACGACTGTCCGCCTTTGTATTTATTCTTCGTGTTTAGCGAATAATGAGTATTGGTTTGTGAATGATTGAATAAAGGGAGGGATTCCGTAAGGAGTTCAATCTAGCTAACCCTGATAACAAATCAGTTGGAGCTGTAAGTAGTATTAATTAATCTTGAGATCTACAATCAATCACTATATCTATACTATATGGTTTGTTTTTGAATATTTGTAAAAACATTTATTAGGTTGGTAAAGCTGCTGGAGCCAAATGGAAATCCATGACTGCTGAAGTGAGTTTTTGTTTTTTAGATTATTTGAAAATCTTTAGATCTGTTACTCAATTGTTTAGTTTAAAAAAAAAAAAAAAAAAAAAAAAAAAAAAAAAAAAAACAGGATAAAGCTCCTTATGTAGCAAAGGCTGAGACCAAAAAGACTGAATACACCAAGACTATGCAAAAATACAACATGAAATTGGTATTTTTCACTCTTTGTTGACTTTTTTTTTTGTCATTTTCGTAAACCGTTAGCCTAATGTTAATCTTGTGTTTTTTTTTTTATGATTTAGGCTAATGGAACGAGTACAGCTGGAGATGATGACTCTGACAAGTCCAAGTCTGAAGTCAATGATGAGGAAGATGCTGCTAGTGATGAGGTTTGTCCTTATACTCTTATTGTGTTTGCCTGTTGCTACTAACACTTATTTGATCTGATGTTTATGTTTTACAGGAGGAAGATGATGATTAAAGAGATGGATCAGCAGCTGTTTAATCTATGAGAGTATCTTCTCTTCTTATGTGTTAGTTACTAGTGTTAGGGAGAAGAATAGTTACTCTATTTCTATGTTTTTTTCCCCTTTATGTTAACTGGGATTAATTCAACTTCTCAACTGCAACTTCTCATGATAAACTTTGGATTTAGCTTTGAACTTCTTTTCTAGTCTTATGAAATGGTATCATGTGTTTGCTGCATTGCATATCTTCTACAAAGTCCACCTTGTTCTCTATCATTGGTTTTTGGTTTTATACAATTTTTCTAAGTACAAAAGAAAGTTGAAAAAAACTCATCACAAAGTGTAGTATAAAACTTTGGATAGTTATCTACAGCAACAAATATAGTCAAAACAACATGAATTTGTATTTTTTCACATTCTTAGTTATTTAAGATATAGTTTTAAACAAATAGTAATCATCCAACAACAGAGAACAGTGCTATGATTTTGAGCTCTGTTTATTGAACTCAACAGCATTCAATAGCTCCTTAGCAGTAGAAGCAAAAGACTTTGCAGTATCTTCCATCTCTGTGGTCTTCAAGCTAATCCCCTGCAGAGATCACAAAAACAGATTATAAAGTCTATCAAACAAATCAAAGATCATATGTTAAGTAAAGACTTACCTGTAGCTTCTTCAAGTTGTCTTGAAGTTTGCTCTGAGCCATTTTAGCAGCACCCATTTCCTCAGATGAAGCAAAACCGTACTTCTTTTTGATCTGGTCGACCGTGGCGCCACTCTTCTCCTCATGTTTCTCTTCATTGGTCACAACAACACTCTTCTCATTCTTAGCAGTTGTCATCTGCTTCAGTTTACCTTTAAAGCTAGTGAACTTATTAGCCAGCTTCTTCTTACTAATCCCTGACAATATCCCTTGTTCTTTAGGCTGCTCTTGTTGCTGTTGTTGATGGTCATCATCATCCTCGATGTCAATGTCATCTACAAGAAAAATGATCAGAAACATACTCAATTATTTTACATCACTAAAGGATATGTTAGACCTTTACCTATATCCAACTCTTCTTCATCATCAACTTTAGTAGTAACTGTATTGCTCTCTCTACTACGCTCAACATTGTTGTTCCAAGGGAAATTAGCTGTGCTGAAGATCTTAGAAAGCTCCTCAGTAGTTTCTTCCTTGGTGCTTTCTGTTGTTTCTGTATCAGCTGCACGCTTGGATTTAGTCTTGAAGACAGAACCAAACATACCCTGTAACAAACCATAATTTAGTTACTCATATGTGTCTTTAAAGATAGCAATAGAGTCAATGTTGCTTCACCTTCTTTTCCTTTGAAGATGATGCAATGACTCCATCGTGACAAACCGCATATTCTTTCTTGTAAACTCTGCTCAATGGCTCCACAAGCCTAAATGTTTCCTTCTGAGGTAAGACTGAGCTGACAATAAGTTCATTTTCTCCATTCACCTGCATCAAGAAACAGAATCCAGCTTGAGTACTTCTTACTAGTAACTTGCAGGGTGTGTGTTCTGAAGGGTACCATGACTAAGTCTCCATCCCATGAGGCAGATATGGTTATCTCTGGTAATGAGTTTTGTTTTGGTGAAGAGTATGTGAAGCCTCTAATAGAGATCTGTTTTAGCAGAGATAGTTCTGGCAATGACCTGAAGCAATTCAAAGCATCAGTGAGAGCTAGTTTTTGAATATGAAGAAAAACAAAAGACATAAGCGTTTTCACCTTATCTCAACAGTTCCATCTGAGAAAACAAGTGTAAGACCAACACCAGAGGCTCCATAGAAGGTAGAAGCTGAGCAAATAGATGGAGAAGTAAACTTTTTCTTGTGAAGAATCTTCTTCACTCCCTGGACAACTTGAGACAATGAGTAAATGTAAATAGCTTTCTCAGAACAAAGCAAAACAGAAGGCTGCCTTGTAGAAACATCCTCAACTATGCTCTCTCCATTTGCTGAAGAGTCTTGTTTCCCATCTGCATTTAACAAGAATCATTCAAGAACTTGATTTTTTTGTTTACTACCTTAATAAACAGATGAATCTATACCTAGAATCTGCATGAATAGAGCCTTGAATGGCTTTTTGGGCTTAATCATGTTGGTTCCAATCATGTTTCCTGTGTCACTATCCAAAGCAAAAACAGATGAGTCCCTCATAGCAACCACCAACACATTCTTCTCAAAGCCTTGCACACTACAGCTCTCAAATTGCAAGGAGGTGATCCCTGGACAGATATCACTAGCAATGTGTTTTGTGTACAACACAGTTGCTTCCTCAATGTCAACCAGAGACACATGTCCTTGATCTGATCCAACAGCTAGATGTTTTGAGTTTTGGCTTTTCTGAATACATGTTATGGAGCCAGTGAGCTTTATGTACTTAACACTATGAACAATATGGTTATTCCCTTTCTTTGAGCTTCCTGCAACACAAAATAGTATCAACTTATGAAGACACAACACATAGATAGTAAAGACAAGTTGTATCTGCTTTTAACATACCTTGGAAAGGGATGAAACTGTTTTCTGTTAAGTATGGCTCAGGTTTGAACCTATAAAGGCGAACCATTCCGTTCTGATCACCAGAGACAAGAAGCCTTGAGTTGCTGTCGAAATGTAAAGCTGTCAATGCAGAAGCTCCACGTGATGATGTATCATGATCAGCCTGCTAAAAGAAACTCACATCAGAGGCAGATATACATTTAAAAGTTTAACAGAAGTCTATGAAGCATTTTACCTGATCTTTTAGGAACAAGACAGGAACAAGAAAAGGACAAGACATGTCCCATACACCAATGCTTCCATCACTATGTCCCGTGATGTAAACATTCTTAACTTTGGTGAAACCAGGAAAATGAGCAGAACGAGAACCTTCCTTTGAAACAGTCTGAGAAGGAAGAAACGATGCAGTATCTCTCGCAAGCTGAGCATAATCATCATCAGAGAGATTCAGCAAGTGTGAAGAGTTTGTTAGAAACTTTCCAACTGTAACACTGGAAGAATCTGAACACGGCAGCTTAACCACACTCTCCTTTGGTAGAGAAGGAGGTGACTTGGATTGTGATTGAATAAGATACTTCTCAATCATGTAATCATCATAGGAATACACACGTCCAGACTTTCCAAGAACAAGCAGAGAATCTTGTTTAATCTCCATGCCAAGACAAGGCTCAGAGACATGAAGTCCCAACTTAACCATCTTAACTTCGGTTTGGTCATTAAGTAAAACCACTTGCAATGAGTTTGAGGATGATCCAGTGACATAGACTCTGCTTGCTTTCCCTTCAGCGTAGACCCATTTTAGAGAAGTTATCGGTGTTTTCTCGGCTTTGTATCCAAGGTTAAGCTTGCAAACAATGGAAGAACTCTCTGTCATGCTCCATATTAGAATGTCTCCATTGCTATATCCAACTGATACTTTGCTTCCTGAAGGGCAAACCCAACAAGCACATGTGGCTTTCTTTGCTTCTTGTTTTCCTCCTGTTTTGAGAACCGGTTTGCTTTCTTTGATGTCCCATAAGGTCATAAACCCGCTACCAAACACCAGTAGAATCCTTCAAAGATTTGAGAGAAAAAGTGTGACTACTCTCTTTTGTTTTTTTCACTACAAGAGATTGTGTTTGATGTGTTACCTTTTGGTTTCAGATGTTGGCTGTGGTAGAATGCTTACAACTGAAGTATCATCAGAAGATTCAACTGGAGAGCCTACACAAACAAGAAGATGTTTCAACAAAAAAGACCTTTTATTTTCAAAAGTGTTCAAAAAATCGGTCTAGACGTCCTACTAAACAATAATCTTCTATAAGGCGCCTAATTACCGCCTAACGATTTCTTAAACATTGTTTTTTTGGTATTTTGGTTATTTACCATTTGATGCTAGATAAGGTATAGTGTAATCCATTTGTATCACTTGATTAGAATCTTGATCAATCTTCAACACTGATACATTACCAGAAGAGTCTCCAACATAACTGCAAAATTAGAATTCACACTTGTTTTCATTATCAAGAACTCAAGAAACTTTGCAAGAAGATTGAGAAATGAAACATACAAGTAAGGTGTATGTTGCATAACCCTGAGAGATGTGATCTCGCTGGTGAAAACATGAACATGAGACATAAGCTTCTTCTCCAAGTCCCAAACCTGAAGTGAATTTTTAGATTTTCAGACCAAAACTCAAATGCTACTAAGTACTAGTTGAGTGGTTAAAGAAAATGTCTTACTTCAATCTGATTCTTGGAGTTCACATTGAGAAGTATTCCTTGGTTCTGAACAAACTAAAGAATAAAAAACAATGTGTCAAGCTATGTCATTGTAATAAAGAGAGAAGAAAGAGCTAATGTGAGTGAGAACCTCAAGAAACTTGCTTATGGATGCTTCTTCTGACACTAGTAATGCCTGAGTCTGATCTTTCCCAAACAATTTGATTCTACCATCTCTGAAGAATCAAAAACAGTATGTCACAACAAAGTGAAACAACTTGAGAAAAAAAACTTTCTTTACAACTCTTACTTGGTGGAAACTGCGAGAATCTTCTGAACCGGATCATAAGCAAACAAGTGAGCTCCTGAAGGGATTCCATAGTGTAATACAACACGTGGCTCAACGTCATTAGCTCTTAATCCTTCTGATGAGCCTCCTCCAGGCTACAACAGTGGAGAGAAAAATGGTAAGATTGTGTTCTGTTCTTGTGGCTACAACTAAACCGGCCGGTTCAGTTTGAAGACACTAAACATATACCGGTTCGGGTCTTATGGATAAGTCAAAAAGTCAACAGATAGTTAGTAACGAGATTGGATACGCATTTAATGTAACTTTTCAAAAATTTAGGACACGAAACTTGCGTGTCGACAAAAACATGTTACATCATAAATGTTTTTATTTTAAATTAAAAAAAAAATCAAAATGGATTAAACATCTGGGCTAACCACGAACCGACACAGAGTAACAGTCACATTCACAAGTAGTAAGATCTATGTTACTAATCCGACAAATGTACGAACTTA